AAAATAAACTGGATGCTGAGCTGCCTGCCCTGTATCTCTGCTGCACAGATGGAGGATGAGGACTCCATTCTGCCCCGGAAGCTGCAGGTGGCCCTGGAGCACATTCTGGAGCAGAGGAATGAGCTGGCCTGCGACCAAGATGGAGGGGCCCCAGACTGTGAGCACGGTAAAGGCCGCTTCTGCTGTGCCTTGGCCCTTAGGAAAATGGGCGGAGATAAAGGAGGGAGGGCAGGTGCTCTGCTCTATCCAGATTTCATTCAAGACATGAATTATGGGGAGAATTCCCCACCACACCCGAGGCAGTTCTACAGTGTCTGCATAGAGGAGAAAAAGAAATGGCTAGGGCTAAGCGTGAAGGTGCATGCCCAAGCCCCAGTACTCAGGAGACTGAGCAGGAGGATCACCGCAAGTTTGAGGCCAGCTTGAGCTACGTAGTGAGACCCTGTCTCAAAAAAACAAAACAAAAGCAAAAAAAGAATAGAAGCGGCTCAGTGACCTAGGTGACTTTTCTTGTGGATGGGGGGAGTCACCATGGCAGTGGCCTCTGCCTGGCCATCGCAGGCCCACGTGCCTCAGCTCCCCTCTCCTCCAGGCCCAGAGCGCAGCCCCCTGAGCGAGGTGGTGTCCGAGGCCTTCGTGCGCTTCTTTGTGGAGGTCGTGGGCCACTACTCTCTGTTCCTGACGCCTGGCACAGGCGAGCGCGAGGAACGGTCCCTGCAGCGCGAGGCCTTCCGCAAGGCTGTGTCCTCCAAGAGCCTGCGCCGCTTCCTTGAGGTCTTCATGGAGACGCAGACCTTCCGGGACTTCGTGCAGGAGCGCGAGCTGTGCCGGCAGGACGCCAAAGGTCAGTGCTGTCCCTAGGGTGCCGCGTGCAGGCAGGCATAGCACCACCGACAGAGAACTGGGCTGAGGCCTGACCTCCCCACCCCTACCCCACCCTGCTTCCCTTGTCCCACCAGGCCCCCTCCAGGTGTCTGCCCACCTTGCCAAACCCTCCATAACCAGCCAGGCATGTCTCGCGCCTATAATCCCAGCCCTCTGGAGGCTAAAACAGGAGTATGGCAAGTTTGAGCTCATCTTGGGCAGGCTAGCAATTTGGTGAGATACTCAAAATTAAAAAACAACCAGGCATGCTGGCATATGTCTGTAATCCCAGCACTCAGGAGGCTGAGGCAGGAGGATCACCATGAGTTCAAGGACAGCCTGAGCTACACAGTGAGACCTTGTCTCTAAAACACCAAAAATAAATAAAATTAAATTAAATTAAAAAGGCAGCTGTAATCCCAGCACTTGGGAGGCTGAGGCAGGAGGATCGCCCTGAGTTTGCAGACAGCCTGAGCTACATAGTTCAAAGACAGCCTGAACTACATAGCGAGACCTTGTCTCAAAATGCCAACAAATAAATAAATAAATGTAAAAGGTTTAAAAAGCCTGAGGGCCAGGGATATAGCTTAGTGGCACTGCTGCCTGGCGAGCACAAGGTCCTGAGTTCAATCCCCAGTACCACAGTCAGTCGGCATCTGCTGTCACTGTGCTGAGGCAGGTGGGAGGCTGGGAGGCTTAGCAGGGTCACAAAGTCCCAGGCTTCCCCTGGAAGTGACCTCGGAGAAAGGCTGGGAGCTGAGGGCCCAGCTCTCCTGAGCTCCCGCCTGGGAATCAGGCTCATCTTTGAAACTGTGTGCCTGGTACAGTATAGATGCCTGGGAGCTACGTGCTGAGTGAAAACCGGGCTGTGTGCCCGAGCTGGCTCTGCAGCCCTCTGCAGACAGCTGCTGCTCGAGGCAGGGCAGGCAGAAGGGCAACCCGAGGGGCAGCATGCCCCAGCGCGGGCACAGGCTGTGCTTGGTGCGCAGAGCAAGAGGCGACACAGCTCCGGTCTCTCTCTCATCATCGCCAGGTCTGTTCGAGGTGCGTGCCCAGGAGTACTTGGAGACGCTGCCCAGCGGGGAGCACAGTGGCGTCAACCGGTTCCTGAAGGGGTTGGGTAAGGCCACGCCTCCGGCCCACACACCTCTGTGGGATCTTGGGTAGCTCCTTCCCAGTGCCAGGGCCGGAAATGATGTGGAGGATGGCATTTGTATGCCCAGTGATGATTTGTCCCCAATCTGTAATCCCAGCACTTGGGAGGCAGAAAGATCCTCAGAGGTTCAAGAAGATCCAAGAAAGCTCAAGACCAGCCTGAGCTACATACAGTAGTGAGACCCTGCCTCAAAAAAACAAAGGTGCTTTAGTTGACTCACCCATCTTTGCCTGTGTTGTAAAATGTCCCTATTTTCTTTCTTAGGCAACAAAATGAAGTTTCTCCATAAGAAATAACCTGGCTCAGCCTCAACGGAAAGCTCTGGCCTAGTGGGCCTGAGTCTCAGCAGTTCCTGGTAACCTCTCTGAGGGGCTGGCCCTGGGGTGTCCCGGGTGGGGACAGAGACCAGGATGGGCCCAGCCACCAGCTCTGCCCAGGACACTCTGCCCAGAGCTGCCACCAACAGGCAACACGTGATTTTTTATGGCTGTTTTGGGATTTGGGGATTTTAAACTTCAGATGTTAAAAAAAAAGAAAAGTGGCTTTTCCTATTGTTGTGCTGGGGCCCAGACAAAGCTCTGTCCATAGCTCCATCCAGCAGGAGGAGAAGTGGGGAACGGGAACGAGCGCCCCTGCTCAGGACAGGGGACAGGGGACAGGCCTGGCGCCAAGGGGAGGACAAAGCTGGGGCTGGTGACATCCACAGACACACAGTGGGCTCCTCCTGCTGGGCCAGTGACGCCACCTGGTGGCCAAGGCCGTGAATGCCTGTGTCTCGTGGACTTGCTGGTGGCCTTTGTCTTCTGGAAGCCATGGAAGCGTCCTAGGCTAACAGCCTGACACTCAAGGGCACTCACAGGAAGAGGAAACCCTGTAAGCTGTTAATGGGGTCCTGACGCTTATGGCACCAGCTGGGGACCCTTAGCCACCACAGTGACTGCATTGCGTGCAGATGGAGAGGGGACAAGGAAGGCTGCATCCCTGGCACAGGGCAGGAAGCCTGGTGAGATTCAGGGACTCTGGACCGCAGGAGGCAGGTGTGGCTGGGCCACAGGCTGAGAGGCACTGGGGACAGTGGGGGCAACAAGCCAGGCTCTCAGGGCAGCCTCCAGCCAGCACCCAGGGCACACACACCCCCATCCCCTCGAGGTGCTACCCAGAACCAGACCAGAGCACAGAAGCGATCTGACCTCAGCAGTGACCCAGGAGGCCTCGTGGGGCTGGAGACGCTTGGGCTTGTCAAGGAGTTGGGGCCACCACCCCAAAACTGTAACCAGGATCTGGGGTGCCCATTTCTTTTCCAGAGAAGATACAGGGTTCATGTCAGGCTTGCAAGGACTCCCCCAAAGGTCGGGAGCAGGCTATGCATAAACGTTAACCTGAGGAAGGACAGCATCATCCCAGCACTCGGAAGCCCGAGGCAGCAGGGTTGCTGGGAATTCAAGGCCAGCCTGGGCTACATAGCAAGACCCTGTCTTGAAACAACAACAACAAAAAGAAATAATAATCCGAGGAACTGTGGGGCAGGGAGTGGGGAAGCTTGGATGAGAGTCTGAGTGTGGGGCTCAGGAGTTTGTGTCTAACAATCTCCCCACAGTCCTTACCTTTATTAATGCCCATTCTGTCCAGAAATAACCACTCTTAATTTTTGGAATACACTTTTCTTTTCTAACTTATTTCTTATTATGTTGTTTACTTAAGACTTCCACATGGATAAATATATATCTTTATCAACATTCAATGATTTATAGTATTCTATTTTTTGGATATATTAAAAGTAATCTCGGCCGGGCATGGTGGCACACACCTGTAATCCCAGCACTTGGGAGGCTGAGGCAGGAGGATCACTGTGAGTTCGAGACCAGTCTGGGCTACATAGTGAGTTCCAGGTCAGTCTCAACTGCATAGTGAGACCCTGTCGCAAACCTCCCCACCAAAAAAAAGTAATCCCACCAGTATGGTGGTGTACACAGTTATCCCAGCACTTGGGAGGCTGAGGCATGAGGATTGCCACCAGTTCAAGGTTAGCCTGGGCTACACAGTGAAACTCTGTCTCATTAAAAAAAAAAAAAAAAAAAAATTTATCTCACCATTTTTTTTTCCTCTTTTGGCAGTACTAGGGATTGAACCCCTGGCCTTAAACATTGTAGGCAAGTGCTCTAACATGGAGCTACTTCCCAGCCCTTTTTAAAAATTTTTTTATTTTGAGGGCCAGGGATTTAGCTCAGTGATTTCACCGCCTGCCTGGCAAGTGCAAGGTCCCAAGTTTGATCCCTGGTACCACACGCACGCACACACGCACAAATTTATTTTGAGATAGGGTCTAAACTGCCCTTTTGGCCTTGAATTTGGGATCCTCCTCCTGCAACCTCCTGAGTAGCTGGGATTACAGGTGTGCACCCCACGCCTGGCCCATTTGTTTACTCTTTATGTATACAAGATGTTTCCAACTTTTAATACCATAAAGAACATCGAGAAAAGCATCTCCATGCATCTCTTAGCATGCTTGCCCAATTTTTATTTTCATTTTTGCGTGAAGTAAAATATGCATATGGAAAAGTGTGTGTACAGAGTATCGGCCTACCCAAGTGAGCTCAGAAGTGACTACAACTGCACAGCTAGCGCCAGAAACGGCCTCACTACCAGAGCATCACCAGAGCCCCGGACACCCCGCTGGACCCCTGTCCAAACCAGCCCCATATAACCAACTGTGGCCCGTACAAAGTAATGAGCCAGGCTCAGGGGCTGGGAGCGAGGGACCAAAGGAGATTGGTAGTGATTGCAGGAATCCCAGCGCTCTAGGAGGCTGAGGCAGGAGGATGGCAAATTCAAGCCCATCCTGGGTAACTTAGTGAAACTCTGTCTCAAAGAAAGGGCTTGGGATGTTGCTCAGGGCAAAGCCCTGAGTTCAGTCCCCAGGGCAGTACTGTTAATATCAAGGAGAGTGGTAAGCCCTGCTCAGGCTGGGCAGGTTGGTAGAAGGGGGCCGGAAGGGGGTTAGGGCTTTTGGTTTGGGTTGGTTTGCTTGCTTAATTACGTTTTGCTGTGCTGGGGTGGAACCCAGGTCCTTGCTTGGGCTAGGTGAGCTGCTGTACCTGAGCTCCACCCTTGGCCCAGTAAAGCTATTTGGTTCAAAACAATGCAGTTGGGCTGGTTAGGATTAAGAGCAATGAAATAAATGACACTTTGTAAACAAAAACCAGCACAAAACAAGTGGCCAGAAATCTTGGTGAGCTGAGTACCCCACCCTGGGCTTTGGGTCTTGCTTCCCACTGCTTTTCCAGGAACCAAGTCCTCTAACTCTGTAGAGTGCACATTTATTTTCCAGGTCAGCCATGGAGAGACAGGCCTGTAATCCCAGCACTCGGGAGGCTGAGGCAGGAGGATCACAGGTTTGAGCACACCCTGGGCATTGTAGCAATTTAGTAAGACCCTGTCTCCAAATGAAAAACTGTAAGAAGGCCACCATCCCCAGTATGGGGTGTGGGGAAGGAAGCGTACATTTCCGATTAGGGATTTTTAAAAGCCTCGGGGCGTGGTAGCACATGCTTGTAATTCTAGCACTGGGAGGCTGAGGCCAGAGGATCTCTACAAGTTCCAGGCCAGTCTGGGCTACGTAGTGAGTTCAAGGCCAGCCTGAATTTTGTAGCAAAACCCTGTCACAAATAAAAAACAAGCAAAGGAATAATAATAGTAGATTCAATTCCCACTACTTATGGAATAACAATAACAGCTGCTGTTTCGTGTTTCTTTTTGCCCATTCCTGTGGTGATTTATGTTAATTTACTCATTGCTGAGTAAACTTGAGAAATGCATCAAGTTCAACCACTGCTGAATTTGGAGCCTAAAACCCAAACCTGGCCCTGAATAGGAACTTAGTGTTTGATGAATGAATAAACAATTCCCACCACACTAAACAGAAGACAGCCTACCCTGGACTGTGGCTTCATAGAGATCCTGTGTGCTCTGTGACTGGTCCAGCACCCAATCACGCAGGTGGCCTTGCTCTCCTGTGACAGCTGTCACCTGCATCTGGGGCCCGAGGCTGGCACATGCCAGGCAAGAGCTCTGCCACTGAGCTACACCCAGGCCTTGTCCCAGACCCTGTCGTCAGCAGCGGGCAGCAGGATGAATTCAGCCAAAGGTGCGGGGAGAGGGGCTGACGGAGGGCCTGACTCCAGAGGGGTTATCTTGAACTCAAAATCCTCTTGCCTCAGCCTCCTGAGTTCTGGGATAATAGGAGTGCACCACTGCACAGGGCTAAAAGGAACCATTTGAAAGTGAACGATTCAGTACCTCCACTATGTGCACCCCCCGCCCCAGTTCCAAAACCTTTTCCTTATCCCAAAAGGGACCGTTCACCCACAGCCTGGCAGACGGAACTGAGGAGTGTGGGCAAGTGAACTGGAGGGCCCGAGGTGGGCAGAGGTGGGAAGAGCAAAGGTGCTGAAGGGCCTCTGCACTCACACCTGCCAGGCAGGCCACTTAGCACTGTGCTCCCTGGTGCACCCAGTGCCCATGCTCGCCCTCACCCTGTCCTGGTGGGGTGCCACGCCAGCTCTCTGGCTACGGTTAGCAGAGGCCCCGTGCCAGCTTCTCCAGCACCAGGCCAAAGAGCAAGCAGTCTCTACAGTGCCCAGCCCTGGGTACAGAGCCCACACTCCTGCTCCCACACCTGCCCAGCTTACCTAAGAGCGCATTCAGCTAAGTGCTCAACCCCACCTCCCAGGTCATACTCTCCTTCCGCTACCTCATGCAGCTGTGAAGGCTGTGGTGGCCACCAGCCAGGCCTGCAGCAGAGCAGCTCCTGTGGTTCCCCTGGGACCCTTTTTCCTCTCCCTGCCTGAGGTGACAGGGTGACCACACCTCCTCTAGTTCTGTCTTAACAGCGTGGGGTCCACCGGCCTGATGTCCCCCTGCAGCTGGTCAAGACCCTACCTTGGGAGTCAGGCCAGGTTGCCCACACCCTACTTACTCTGAGGGCACCCACAGCAGGTGATGGGGCTGAGGGAAGTCCAAAATGGACTTGCCAGCTAGGCCTATAATGCCAGCACCCAAGAGGCTGAGGCAGGGCGACTGCCATGAGTTCAAGGCCAGCTGAGCTACATAGTGAGATCTTGTCTCAAAAAAGAAAAGAAAAGAAAAGAAAAAGAATAGGCAGTCAAACGGGGCTGAGCCCTTGAGAGAGGACAAAAGGTGAAAATACAATACCACTGTGGCCAGGGACACATCAATTGGAGACAAAGCTCAAAATTAAAAACACAAAAAAAAACCAGATAGGCATCTGTCACCTTGGTAGGTGACTGAGACCCGCAGATCCATCACCTTCCTAAGAAGTTCTTTGTTCCTTCTTTTTTTTTCTTTCTTTTTTCTTTTGAGACAGGGTCTCACTGTGTAGTTGAGACCGACCTGGAACTCACTATGTAGCCCAGGCTGGTCTTGAACTCTCAGTGATCCTCCTGCCTCAGCGTCCTGAGTGCTGGGATTACAGGTGTGTGCCACCATGCCCAGCTATTCTTTCTTTCTTTTTCAATAAAGGACCATTCTCTCTCTCTCTTTTTTTTTTGGTTTGGTACTGGGGATCAATCTTGGGACCTTGGGCTTTTGAGGCAGGCAGCAGTACTACTGAGCTAAATCCCTGGCCCCTTTGCTCTTTCCATGTACCCTTGCTACCTGACTTGCTTACCGATTGGATCACTATTACCTGAGCAACTACACTTGTAATCTTATTGCTTGATCTATGTTTAACCCACATTGTACCCATCTGAGTTTTGCCTTGTAAAACTTCCCTGTAAAGTGGAATCACAGGCAACCCATTTGGGTTCCCTCCTGTCTCTTTCAGGAGCTATATCTTTGCCCTCCATAATTGTTTTCTTACTTTGTGTGTGTGTGTGTGTGTGTGTGTGTGTGTACCGAAAATCGAACTCAGGACCTTGCACTTGCGAGGCAGGCAGCAGAACCACTGAGCCAAATCCCCGGCTTTATTTTCTTACTCTTAACCTCTGTTGTTCCTAGAATTCATTCTTTCATTTTGGAGACCATGCACTTAGCGTATCAGACCTCTAAGAGATTGACAGATACAATGTTTTCATATTTCATCTTTCATCGATTGCTGCCCTTCCCGGCATGCTGTAGGGCAGCCTCAGCTCTGCCCTCCCTGGAATCTGGTAACCCCTTGGTGAGACAGTGACTGGAGACTCCTAGCATCGCCCTGCGGGCCAGCATTGTCAAAGCTGCTAATTGGATGTCCCCACATGTCCAGAAGCC